TATATATATATATAAACGAAACAAAAACAGCTACATTATAAAGTGATGTAAAATACTAAAAACAGGAACATGTCTGTTGGTTTATGCCATGAACTTAGCAGATGTTTAAAGCCATTTAACATTTTATTTTATTTTATTCATTTATTCATTCATTTAAAAGAAACAAAACAAATTCATCAAAAAGAAAACATTGAATGAAAAGAGTGCAGACAAAGAAAAATCTTATATCTGCCCCTTATTTAAAAAATATAAAATAACTTTAAACAATCACTTAAATTAATCACTTTAATATCCACTTTAAAGCTAGGAATAAAAAGAAACATGTTTTGTGTTAGCAGGATTTAATTCTAACTTTGAAACTTATCCAATATTAATAAAATATGGGCTACGTATAACGTTAAAGAGGAAATTAAAACTTTCTCAACCTACCAAAATGGCTACAACTTGTTGTTTTTATATTTTTTCCAAATGATTTATGTGCACGGGGGAGTCAGAAATAACTTTTGCCAAAATATTTCAACACAATAAACATTTATCTCACTCCTTTAAAAGAAAGAGAAAGAAAAACACCTTCTGACATGAGGAATTAATCCAAATGTATCTTATTAAAAAGTCTCCCTGAGGACCTTGATTGATTTTTCTCAAATATAAATGTGTGCCTCCATTTTCCATGTTTTATTTAATTCCCAACCCATATTCTGTCTGTTTAGATCCGCATCATTTATTTGAGACAAAACAAAATTAAGTATTTAGAACTATTTTTTTGTGGGATAAAACGACGCTCCATGTCTGCTGCATGATTCAGTCATGTAAAATGCTGCACCGTCCTTTCCTCGTGGTCGTTTGATACCTTGTCATTAGACGGTAATCCAGCATACAAGACTTGGAACACAATTACATATGATTATAAGTAAACATAAATCTTGGTTTCGTTTTGCACCTGTTTAGTGTCAGCCATGTTTCTCTGAGATTAAGCAAACAGCCCCCGCGCTAAACTAATCTTTGAACAGCATACCTGACCCGGCTCACTCTGTGGTCACCGACCTCTCCGGTAGTTTTCGTGTCACAGCACGGATCAGCTGCTGTTTGGAGTGACACACATCTCGAAGCATATTTCATTTAAACTACATATTCCACAAAAATAGATGATTTTATGGGTGTTATCAAGTATTTTTGTGCTCATTGTTGATGATGGATGCTTTTGTCTAATAGGTGATGAGAGCTACTTACCATTCCTGTTCTATTGTTCCTGTCTGATTGTTATCAGGCTGCATAGATGAAGGCGGAAGTTGCTGCTACTGACGTTTTCATTCATCTGGGAGAGCTTTGAAAGTACCTGTTCGACTCCAAAGCATCAGAACTTTGCATTTTGTTTTCGTTTTTAGTTCAAGGAAATGGAAACTCTTTCACCGTGACGTTAACCTTCAGAAATCATCATTCCTCCTTTCCCACAGCGCTTGCTGTCAGTTAATTAAACTCTTCTGCACTTCTCTTAGTCTTGGTCTTATGGCTTTGTGCAAAGGGTCCGGAGACACCACAGCCAGGTGGAGTGAGGGGGGAGTAATGACTTTTCACCAGCCTGTCTGCATAGCTGACATTCCTCACTCTCTAACTAGAGAGGAAGGAGAAGGAAGCGTCTAGACAAAGTTTCAGAGCAGAGTTTACTTCTTCTCTTTAATTATTATCATAACCTGAAATCTAAAAACGCACATCAAGAAAAAGTACCTTTTTGTTTTTCAAACCAGTGCTGCTACTTTTGTCCATTGCTTCCTGAAAGAAGCATGGCCGTACATCATTGCTGAGGTCACACCTTAGAGATTTGGCCTCTCGGAGCGCTTCAGAGGGAAGCTTAGAAAGCGATAGTTTAAAATCCTTTAAGCATACTGTGGAGCTTTTATAAGAAACTTGCAGTAGAAATTACTTGTAGCATTTGTAATCCATTAGGCCGAAGTTCTCTCCAGGAGGAGACGAGCTACAAGCTGGTCAGCAGAAACTTCTGATGTCTTAAAAACCGCTCGAATCGCAAAACGTTTATGACAATTCACTGAACGTGATTTTATAAAACAGCAACTGCCATCAGTTTAACGTTATAGGATTAGTTATGTAAAAATCTGTTGTTATTTGTAAGCGCAAAGGCGCTGAAGCACTTCTGGCGCAACTTGGGGTCGCTTCCTACAGATATATCATGATTTTACCACGTGGTGTGAAAATGACCTCATCATAGATGTTTATAAAATATAGTTTGCATGAACAGCTATGAAATATTTAGGAAAGGAGTTGGTTTAGCTGTTAGCTCATCATTCATGTTTGAATTAAACTTTATTTCTCCAAACTGAGGTTGTTTAAAGAGCGATGCACACCAGGTAAGATACTAATTAATCACCTTCAACCACACTTCAAAAAATCTGAACTATCATTTTTAAGAAATTAAGAAAGCAGAAGTTTGCTTTTGAACTTGTGGTTAGATCTTCTCCTCTGAGAGAACGTTGGCCTGATATTCCAAACTTCTACTGCAGGTAAGACATTGATTACTCACAACAACTCCACAGAAAGTCTGAACTGCCCCTTTAAATGTTAAAGCTAGTTTATGACACAGTCTGAGCGCCATGGAAGAACTGAATACGTGCAAAGCTCTTGAGCTTTTTGACAACTATCAAATGTGAAAATAATATCATGGAGCAATAATTATTTGTTCAAGCTTCAACCATTAAAAACTTTTGTTTTAAATCGACTGATTATTCATCAACCTTTTCTCTTCTGCTGCTAAATAAGTCTAGATTTTCAAAGCTTACAAGAAGGAATGATTACAAAAGCTTTAAGGCCGAATGAACCTCTTGAAAGTAAGAAAGCTCATTACGCCACTAATCTGTGTTTGGTTTTTCTGTCGAAGCTTGTTGTAGAGACAAAACCCGGGGTTGGTTTCTGTTTTTGCTCCCTGTTTGTTTTTCAGTGACTTAGCAGTCGGGAGGCAGGAGCGCTCTGAGTGTTCACTTCATGTTTCCACTGTGGGACGGATAAATAAAGTGTGCTGTTTACGTGCAGCTCAAGGCCTGCTCAGAGTCACACTTCTCCTCGGGGAAGGGACGCGAAGCGATCCTGGAATCCGAACAAGTCGGCGCTGACATGTGAACAAGACTCGAGTCATGTAAAATGCAGACGGCACTCAGGTGAGCGTTAGAAACAACCTGACATGGCCGTGCAGATAAACGGCTCAGTATCTGCCTTCACCTAATCTGACATTAGTCTTTAAACTCACCATCCCCCACTAACAGAGCTCAAATTAGTTGTGTTTTAATAACAATGCCAAAATAAAGTTATGCATATTGTTAACTAACCGGGCAGGATTGATTCCTGTTTAATAGTTCTTTGCAGCTATTATTCCATTTTTCCATTTCGTGACAGACACTTTCACAAGCGAATTCCCTAAGCCTCTGAAAAATGTCAAATCCGTCCTAGTAGCTGCAGCAGCTGATGTTGCCCTGATCCAAGAGGGAGGCTAAAACCTCGTGAAATCGAGCAAGAAAGGCAAAAAGCTGCAGAAAAATGTGATATTGTGCAAGAGTCCTGGTGTGTTGTGTCTGTTACCGTGTGATGAGAAGAGTGATCCAAACAAATGCACGCTATGAGACAAAGCATTCGGTAAAATTGACGCTTAAAGACAACAGTCATGTTCCCACAGCATGCGTTTGCTTTTCTCAGGAAGGGTGGAGACCACTGACTGGTGTTGTCGGAGCCCAGTTTACATCAGGTGGTACTAACAAACTGGAACCACAGCAGGCTATTGTCCACGCATATGCAGGATGAATTCACATTCACTGAGGTGGCATCATCTCCTCTTCCCATACACTTCCAGTGATTGTCGGCAGAGCTCACTGAGCCGGGGTCAGGAGGATTTCCACTGATTACAAAGAGCCAACAGAGCTGATCCTGTAAGCTTTCCACACTCCCACATTATCCCAGTCTCCCAGAAGAACGACGTCCTAAAGTTTTCAGTATGGCAAATAAAAATACAGTCTGTACTGGTTTGAACTTCAGACTCAGCATTGCCATATTGCACAACTTATACACAGTACTGTGTGCTTTGTTTTAAAGATTCACTAAAAGTTGTGCTGGGTAAGGACCGCCCAACTTTTAAAAATGCAGAGTAATCCCTCGTTTATCCCAGGGGTTACGTTCCAGACCCCCAAGCAATAGGTGAAAATCTGTGAAGTAGAAACGCTATATTTATTTTAGAATTTGTATATATATTTTAAGGCTTTATAAACCCTTCCCACACTCTTGCAATGTTCTAAACTCTTAAACCTACGTCATTTTAACAACATACGTATATGTACTGCACAGTACTGCTAAATTTTACTCACCAGCTCTGCAGAACACATCAGCTCAGTTCCAGTCCGGCTTGTTCTTGGACAGCTTGGTTCTAGTTCGACAGGCCTACCCTGCCGGTTCTGGTCTGGTTCTGGTCGACTCTCTGCAATCCTTGAGCACCAACATGCTTTTAGAGGGAGCTGGACCTTCAGATGGCCAGATGATCGAGTCCAAATCCATATGGGGGAGGTCCCGGTGGGCTCCAGAGGGAGCATCGGACCACCGGGCAGCGCCTCCCGGCTCGTGAGGCCTCGTGGGCCGGCGTGCAACACTCAGATTGACCGATGAGTCTGGTTCTGGTCTGGATCGGTTCCATATGGCTCTCTGCCTCTGCTGGGCGCCGAAGTCGCTACGAATAAGGACTGAACTTTTTTGGATCAGATCAAAGTTTTCCGTCTATTTCAGCAGAAGACAACAGCTGGACGTACTATTGACTTCTGGGTGGGGCATTGTTGGCTTCTGGGAAATGTAGTCCTTTTGAGTGGCGATACAGCGCAGGCTTATTGAGAGAAAAGTACAAAATGACGACAACAGTCCGAAGCATTTTTTTCGTTAACTTTTTACTGCATCTCGTACCGTCCCAATCACATGAGTAATATTAAAGTTGACGCTCATGTGTCGTGCACAATTTTACTTTGGAAAACCACGAAAGAGCGAGTCCGCAAAAGTCAAACCACGAAGTAGCGAGGGACTACTGTAGTTTGAGTATGATATTGAATATTACAGAGAGTATCAGTTCTGTTAAATATTTTCCTCACTTTTCGCTCTTTTTCTCCTATCATCATGAGGGTCAAAACCTTTACTTTTCCTGTAGCATCTCAACAACAACCAAGACCAGAGTTATTACTGTCCACACAGCTCTTTGCAGTATTGATATTGTACACAACATTGCAATAACGATAAACTCTCAATATATTATGCAGCCTTAGTTTACTCTGGGACTCCCATCTTCCTCCTAAAATGTCTTCTTAATTTGCATCATGCATAACAGAAAGGAATGGATCTGCAGTTTAATAGGCTAAACTGACTGATTTTGATTTTAGGAATTTAGCTAAATCTCGGTCTGCAGATCCATTGAGTCAGGGTGGCTTGAACAAAAACGGACAAATTAGTCATTTATCATGGATAGCTTTTATTATGTGAAAACTAAGTGTTGAGAAATTTTAGCTAAATTTCAACATGTTTTAAATGCAGACAAAGAGAGTATTTTGACTTTTAATCTAGTTTTATAATCTGCCAATTTTTGATCCTAGTGAAAACAAAAACCCTGCCTTAAATTGAGCTTAACAGCTCTAAGCCCCAATTTATCTCTGTAATAAAATTTCATCTGATTGTTTGATTTTTAAGGTGGTTAAATGTGTCATGTATGGCCTCAGTAATCTTACATACAAAGTGAAGGAAAAGGCTGGAGCAGCAGGTAATGCAGCCTTTTCTCCCTGTGATGGCTTCATGCCAGGCCAGTGTGAGCTTTCTCCTGAAAAGGAACATGCTCAGTTTCCATCCCTGCATGTCAGAGCCTGAGGAGGATGATCCCTCTGCCTCTGTAACGTCTGGATACTGGTCCATTACATGGCAAAATGTAGTTACGAGTCAGGACTGCATGAAAGCATCATTGCTTTGCTCAGTCATCGATACGATACCTGAACAGAAATCTCTTAGCTCTTTGCAGCTTTAATTAGCTGTCAAAACATTGCCAAAGCAAGGTCCTCTAACTCTCTCTTTTATTTGATATTTCCTAAAACAATGTCTGCTTCTTTTTGTGTAGAAAAAAATTGCTCAAACTTACGTTACAGATAAGGCAAACAATGGCTGGATTATTCAGTCGTAGTGCAAGTTGTTTGCATAAATCAGTGGCTGTAGCACAAACTCTTAATTATCTTTATTATTATGTTGTCAAAATGCTGAACAACAATTACTGGAACGCTATCTTTATATTTTTTTAAAGGCAATAAAATAAAAATCATTCGAGCATGCAGTACCACATGCTTCCTGTAGGTGGCAGTAACTTAAAGCTGTATTTTGACATTTAAACAGCTTTGTGTTTGTGCACAAATGAGCAAGAGCAGCTGAAATATTGAGTAAAGGTTTATCTTTACTCTCAATATTGTAAAACTTGAGCAAACAGTGATGTTTTTACTGTGAATAACTTAAAATAGGAATTTTGCTCTGCTTTCTAATGGACTAAAATGTAATAAGATTAATTCTTGTAATGTTTTCTAAAGTCAGAGCTGTTAGTAGTGATGCTGATTGCAGGCCCTCTGGGTCCCCAACCCCC